GTGTGTGTGTGTGTGTGTGTGTGTGTGTGTGTGTGTGTGTGTTGGTCAGAGAATGACTTGTAGGAGTCGGTTCCTTTCTTTCACCATGTGTGTCACTAGGATTGAACTCAGATTGTCAGGTTGGTGACAAGTGCCTTGACCCACTGAGCTAATGATTACATTCTAAAGTTCAGGATGCTTCGGGAAAAGAAAAGATGCATTCTAGTTTGGGGACTAAAATAAAGGTGGCCAATGCATGCATGGAGGTCTTTTAAACATTGACTCTGTCTTCATGTCCCTCATACCTAATCTGGAGGCCAGAGTATCTCTGTGGTTCTAACCACTACTGAACTCCATGAAGGTCAGGATCACTTCCAGTGTCTTGATCATTACCTGGTGTGAAGCTGGAGATCTAAGGGGGCTCAATACTCATTAAATCTTTAAGCCAATAAGGGATTGAGATTACGGGGAGAATGAAGTTATATAACATGCTGTCTAAAGTTCTCAGAAAGGTAACAAAACAAAACAAAACAAAACCAGGCTTGTTGACATTTTGGGTCAAGTTATCTCTGTCTGGCGGAGTGAGGACTGTACTGTCCTGAGAATTACAGGATATTTACCAATGTCCTTGGCCTTGACACATTAGATGACAATAAGATTACCCTGCTCTCAGCCCCAGTCCACCCATTATCAAATTTCCCTTGGAGGCAAAAACATTCCATTGCTGTTTAGGCCAACAACATACATTAACTATTTACAAATGGAACCACTGGGCTATTAAATAAATGAAAACATTAAAAAATCGAGAGTAGGGGCTTAAGAGATATGAATTATGTAGCAATTATTACAATAAAACAAAACAGTTGCAGGCTCCAAAGAATTCCATTCATGATCAGGAAACAGAACAGCAGACCAGAAGATGGGGTGCTGTTCTGCAGTGACAGGACCACCACTGTTCTCTCTTACTCAGTGATTCACGTGTCTGGCAGGGATCAGGACACGCATGCTGGGACTTAAGGTGGAGCTTCAATGCACATGGGGTGAGCGGATTTGCCTATATTACCTTTCTTTTGAAGATGGAAAATCTATGACACAAAGAAGTTTGACTTGTTTCAAACAAGAAACAGCTAATGTGAATGCTCTCCCCAAGGTGGAGTTGCTGGGGGCTACGAGCCATGTTCCTGCTGAATACCATTCACTGAGAGCTACTTGACCCTCTGACCTTCAGTTTCTTTTGTGAAAAAGGAGCCAGATAGTGAAACTAATCAGAATGATGCAATGATGGCAGATACCTGTCACCATCCATTTGTCTAAACACAACACACAGAATGCACATCCCCAAGAGTGGACTCTAATGTCAATATGGACTCTGGGTGACTATAATGTGCCAATGCTGCTCATCAATTGTTCATAGAATGAACCATTCTATTGGGAATGATGCGAATGTGAGACTGGGTCTGCACCTGAAGCATTTGTGCTTCCTAATCACATTTATTGGGAACCTGTAATCAGTCTTTAAAAAAATGCTATTAAAAAAAAGGATGCTGGGTTAGGGAGATAACTTAGGGAGTCAGTGAGTAAGTTCAAATCCCCATTTTCCACATAAAATCCAGGCACGCCTACACAAGTCTGTAACCCCAGTGCTAGGTCGGGAGAGGGGAGAGGGGAAGACTGAGCATGACAGAGCTTGCTGGCTAGACAGCCTAGCAAAAATATTAAGCTTCAGGTTCAGTGAGAGAGGCCCTATCTCAAAAAACAGAGGCTGTGCTGGAGAGATGGCTCAGCAGTTAAGAGTACCAGCTGCTCTTGCAGAGGACCTGGGTTCAGTTCCCAGCACCCACATGGCAGCTAATAACTGTCCTTAACTCCAGTTCCAGGGGTTCTGACGCCCTCTTCTGACCTTCATGGGCATTGCATGACATGGGTGCACCTACCTACATGCAGGCAATACACTCATACACATATAATAAAAATAATAGGTACAATATTTTTTAAAAAATAGGGGACGACACCTGACCCCCCTCCTCTTCCCTCTGCATGTGCAAACTTGGACATGCTCATACATCTCCCTCAAATAGTAATGATAATAATAATAATGATGATAGAAGGTGTTGTGGGGACAGGGCCAACAACCACATCAGAGTACTACCAAGAAGATACCCAGTTCAGCACCCTGTGGTGAGGTGCTTAATAACAGCTTTTCTTTAACCAAAAATGATTCTCATTTCTTTTCTTTTTATTAAATCTTCTGCTTAAGATTCTCTTGGAGGGAGGCAGAATACAAACATGGATTTTTCCTTTGGATCTCTACCACCAGAGGAGGTAGGGCTCCCTGGCACAGGCATCTTGCCACACGTATGGTCTGGAAAGCACCTCATCCTGTGTTTTTGCTCTGAGGCTCAGACCCCCAGGAAGGTTGCAAGAACTCTCTGGTGGGATTGTGGTGACTCAGGCTGTTCCACTTCAAAGTCCTACTTTGTGGTCTCTGTGCATTCTGAGCTATAGGGATGGAATGTGACAGTTTCCTCCACATCCTGAACCACCTTAAGTATTCCCTGTTGTACGGATTTTAAGATCTGTGGAGATGCCAAAAAGGAAATGAACTGTGGACTTGGGCTTTGATGGAGGGGAGATGAAGGGCAAGAGGGATTATAAAAATAAAAAGTTTGAGAAATATCCACCTTGCACATAGTGAACACTCAATAAACATTAAATAGCAATAATAACTAAGCTAGTAAATGAATGAATGTGCCTCATACCCCTTAGTCTGCATAACAGACCACAGGCTGGATGGGGTTTTCATCACAGAATTTCTATGGCCTAGTTCATAGAGTTTTTAAAGTATGCCTGTAAGCTCCTGTTCTAAGAACTTTTTAGTTTTCTTTATAATTCATTATAGCACAGCCAGCAAACAGCAAACATGAATTCCTTTAGTATTTCTAATTTTTTCAAGCCTAAAAGAAGTTAACGTTTATTCCAATTCCTTGCAAATTAATGCTACATCATCCTGTGCTAAGTGAAACTGTGGCCGTGGAAACCACCCAGGTGTGAGTGGTGTGAAGCCCCATTCTCTGTGTTTTCTCTATGGATGTTTCATGTAATAATGACAGCACCCTTACAACATAGTTATCATTGCTCTCATTTAATATATTGGCTATTGTTTGATGTGTCCTGCAAACGTCATATGATGGAAACCAGATTCCCCACTGCAGCCCATATGGTAAGGTGGGCCCTTTAAGGGTTAATTATGCCCTGAGAACTCTACTCTTACCAATGCTGTTGCTGTGAGAGAGGGTTAATTATCCTATGAGCCCTGCCAGTTCTCTGCAGAATGTGAGTTTCTGAGTCCGGGAGCTTCTTTCTTTCCCTCCCTCCCTCTCTTTCACTCTTACCTTCTACCCTGGGATGCGGACCTGAGAAAGCTCTCACCAGATGCTAAGCAGGTGCTAGTACTATGGCCTTGGACTGATCAGCATCCAGAACTGTGAGCCACATAAACTTCTATTGCTTATAAATTGCCCCATATATGGCATCCTGCCATAGCAGCAGAAAACAGACTAATTCAACAAAGAAAGGAAAATTTAGAGGCGTTTAAAGAAGGTAATCCAAAGGTTTCTTGTTTCTCAAAATTAAGTCTTAGTCATTACGTTATTCCAACAATTTTTATGTCATAGTAATTCCCCCAGTTTTCTCGATGAACTTGTGCTTTTCCTGGGCTAATCCGTCCTCTCAGCCTGTTTCATTCATGTGATGAAGAGGCTAACCACTCACTTAGTTAATGGTCTGGCATGACCTTAGAGCTGTAAGTTTCTTGTTTGGTGATTGGACATCTCATTTCTCCTCCAAGATCCCAAACCCTGTCGTTGTTTGAAAGCATGGAGAAAATAGGCTGATGCTCTCACCTGCCTGGATCATGGAGCCCATGGGCAAACACTTCTGGGGGCTGGTTGGTGCTGTTGAAGTGGGGGTTGCTCTGTGGTATAGAATAAGGCACATTGCACACATCTGTGTCCACGTCCAGCCGCAGTACTGAGCCTGTGAAATCACTGAGAAGTTGGAGAGGAATCAGTGCTTCATGCTGACACTGTATGTCTCACCTGCACTAAATAAGGTCACGTTGCTCTAAGGAGAATTATCCCCCCATTTGGGTCAAAATTATTGAAATTCCAAATTCCATGAATGAAACCAGGGGCAGTTTGGGTCCAGATAGGATAAAGAATGGCTTAAAGGTGACCAAGGGCTGTGGTACTGGTAGCATGCTTGCTTGGCTGCTTTTTAAAAAGATCTGTCCTCTTTAATTTTTGCCAGTCTGTGCATTTTATGTCCCCCAAGATGTCAGTTCATTATGCAGAGGGTGGAGAAGCATACGGGGGGCTGCTGTCCAGCAGCTGTGGTCCAGAGGAGGAAACGCTCTGTACTCAGAGCTGTGTGTGGTAGAGACAGTCCCCAAATGCAGTGCCACCCAGCAGCAACTCCTAACACAAAGCAAAGCATCCCCTCAGCATAGAACACCCGCACATTACTACAGTAATGTGTATACTGACGACAACAACAGTTAAATGTTTCAATCATCAAATAGGGTTTCTAATCACTGGTCAGATCCCGTGTCCTGGTACTGAAAACACATCAGCATCAAGAGGCACGTGTTGGTGATCAGTCTGTTACCTTAAACCATCCATCTCCTCCATATCGTCCAGGGTGATCATCCCATCCCCAAGGATGATGTATAGAAAACCATCAGGACCAAAGAACAGCTGTCCTCCAAGATGCTTTCTGTGGAGCTCTGCGACTTCCAGAAACACCCTGGCTGTTCTCAAATCAACTTGATGTGGATTTTTTCTGCACGATGGGAGGGACAACACCATGACTGTTCAGGTACAAGGTAAATCAATAGAAAGGAGAAAGTGTACAGAAAAACAGACATCTGATACATGAAAAAGGAGCCATACTTGAAATGGAGCTAATCAGAATCACTGAAAAATTACATGATTCTCTATCATTTCAGAAATAGCATTGAAGTGGGAAGTAATTGAGGAAAAGCAGCAGAGCCAGTATTTTGTTCAATTTTTCTTAAAACACTCACACATGGGGGTTTTAAGCCATGTCAGGATTCTGCTTTAATTATTTACTGCCACCTTATGACTGCTTATTTACAATTTCTAAACAAAAAGTTGATGAGGAGATGGAGACAAAACAAGATTGCAGAACTTGCATGCTCCGGCGCATGGTAGTGAGTGATATACCTGGATACTGTGTATTCCACGACCCTAAGAATGTGGTCATGAGGCCCGATGGCCCACCGCTCTTGGTTGGTGGTATAAGACACATACAGCTTTCCATTTTTCTTGTAATTGGGATGGAATGCAAGGCTTAGCAGTCCCCTTTCATCTCCTCCCTGCAGTCAAATGAAAAACACAAAGAATTGTGAAGTTAATTATGTTCTTTATTGTGTTTCAACTGGAACCCCGAAAGAGTCTCTTTCTTTCTTCTGGATAATCTTTGCCAACCTCTTTTCTCTGCTTCCTAACCCTACCGCACAAAAAAGGTTATAAAACATTTCACTGTGTGCAACTCTTTAAAGGTTAGAACAACACAATTGTCTTGTGTGGTTATCTATGCACAAGAGTCTTACACCACTTTAGTCAAGTGATTTGTGCATGTAATCTTGAGAAGCCAGGAAGACAAGTTTAAGTGCTGAGAGGAATTCTTTCCCGGGTTACTAGGTTGCTTGTAGTTCATAGAAGACAAATAAAATGGTTCACAATCAACAGTCACTTCTAATCCAACTCTCAAAAACCTAAAACACAGTGTGGACTGCCAACTCCCACTGTCTTGGCAATATGTTTAGAAAACAGTTAAATTGCTTGTGTAATATGTAAACCATTGTTTCATCGTTGTCACGACGATGGTGGTCTGTACATCATAGCGAGGTAACAGCACCCTTGGCCCATCTATACAGAAAGGAGGTATTTTTACGTGCATTCCTAATGCTGTGTAGAAAAGAAGGATAGAAGGGTAAAGGGATGGAGAAAGACCAGGCTGGGGTGGGGGTGGGAGAGACAGCAGAGAGGAGAGAGGCCACTGGGAAATGAAAGAACAATCTAAAGCAACTTTCTTTTGTTATTACACGAATGTCAAGGATTGTATACGTTAGACATGCCAAATGCTAAAACAATTAAAACACCATCATGTTCTGAAATAGAAAGGCATTTTATCTGTATTTTCTGCTAATTCAGCATGGTCTTACCATTGACTTTATCCCACAAATAGTTTAGGAATTTCTATCATGAAATCAAAGCATCTAAAATTATCTACATCAGAAACTTAAATTTCATCCTCTAGGAAACCAGTGCACATTTTCTCTCCAGTCTAGTGAGTTCTTCACAGCAGTAAAATCATGAGACAGAAACTGAATTCTACCACTGGCCCATAAAACACCCCCTTATTTATGCCTTTAACACAACATCTGCTTTGGCCCAAAGAGTATGAGAAATTAACTTCTGAAGTGTCAAATGAGGAAAAACTTTTGTAATATTGAAACTCCTTAGCAGGGTCGTGGTCAGTCCTATGTTGTGTTCCCACTGAACAGCACAGGTTAACAGCACAGCACAGCATGGCACAGTTCTTCCTCATGGTTGTAGTCTACATCCATTTGAGAATGTAAAGTTTTAGGCATAAAAGTTTTGGGAGGCAGAAGCAGAGGGACCACTGTGAGATCGAGACCGATCTGGTCTACATATCTGAGTTCCAGGCTAGCTAGGGCTTCAGGGAGACCCAGTCTCAAATCCCTCTCCCCAAAGTTCATTTTTAATAAACCTCATTTGATTTGTATTATGGATCAGATATAACTGCTTTTTGCTAATAACACCCAGAGTGGAAACATTCATATTCGGAGAGTTGTATAAAGAATACACCGGTTGGAAATATCCAGGAAGTACCAAATCATTATTCAAATGTTAACCTTTTTGCATATCACCATATGCTTACTTTTAACTTTAATCATTAGAGTCAGACTCTAATGACTCTGATTTATGAATGAACATCTGCTGTTTTGGATTATTTGTGATGATGGTTTTAATACAGACTTAATGCTGCTGTGACAGGAAATAAATATCAATTGGCTTTCTTAGGAGACTTTAGAAGGTGAGGTGTGTAAAAGACTTGACTCTGGGGAAGTCCCTGGACATTTAAGCCACTTTGATATAAGAAGGCCCACAGGTGGAATTTTGTCCATGATTAATTCTTCCCCCCAATCTATTCCTCCCTAAAGCTGTGAGGGCAGGTTAAGTACTGCATGCCTGCATCACAAATGTTTGTGTTCACTGTAAGAAGCTTTCGTTGAAAGTAGTTCTTTGTAGTTTCTAATCAAATTGTCAGAAAGACCATGTAAGAGTGGAAAGCAACATGGTTCAAAGCTGTGCTGGTTCCTTTTCAGGAATTAGGGATGTAGACTTAACGGATCATAGGAGGCCAGGTGAAAAGGATGTAAACAGATCTGCAAGTGGGAGTGAAACAATTCTTCACTCCAGGGGTGCGAAGTTCATACCAATGAACCCAGGAGTATCACAGACATTTGGTGAGGGCCAAATATGGAAAAGGAATGAGACTTGGAGAAGGACATAGATGGGAAATGCACTTTTTGAAAAGCCTTCTAACAATTCGGACTTTTTCAAGGTTATAAGATTAACATTTGGTTAACTTAGTATTTATGACCTGGTCTTTTAAAATCACCTTCCAGGTATAAAACTGTGTTCTGATTGGTTTGGAAACTTGACAACTCAAGTCATTTCCAAGAAAAACTTTGGTAATTATGGAATAATAATAAACCAATCCTTGCATTATATAAATATCTTGGCCATCTCTTGGGACCAGCCTTTAAAATTGTGTCAGAGATCAGGAAGGTCAGATACTCTCTTACTGTGCTAACAGATTGAAATATTGATAAACCCACTTTTCACTGAATTAGCCTTCACAGTGATGATGTCTATTTAATTAGACTATATAATGGAAAAAACAACATCATTTAACTGTCAAATGCAAACCTGTCTTTAAGTTCTGGCTCATTTTTCAAGTTCTACACGGAGAAGTATGTCGGTTGGGCATTGAGGGTGGACCTCATGCCAGGGTCAGAGGCCTCATCATCAGTGACACCACTGGACATTTAGGGCTTCTGGCCCTGTAAGATCCTTCAAGTTAGACTTCACAGGAATTTTGTCCCAATGTGATAGCTATGACTATGCAAGGAAGCTTGAAGACCCCTGTTCTTCTTCTGGCAATTAGGTCCTTTCACCCTAGGTCTGGCTGTGCATGTTCACAGGCTCATTCTCTTGTCTCTCCCAATTCCACCCCCCCCTTCTCTTCAATCTATTGCAAACTCTGATAACGCAGCTTTGGAGACTCAGTAGAAAGAATCTTTGACTTCTCTCCTGATCCTTTCCCATCCTTTACCCTTCATGATGGGTGGCTTTATGGCTTAGAGTTTATGGAACTGAAACCATGTGCTCCATTCAAAGATGTTAAGTGTTACAGACTGATCCTGGGGAGCATCTCAGGAGAATGAGTCTTTCATGATGAGCCTGGTTGAGCTGGCTACCAAGGGAGAACAACACATTAACAGAGACACATAGGAAGCCACACCTTTCAAATAGACTTTAAATTCTAACACTATGCTTTTAAAATCTGTCAACCACTGTCCAAAGTGTTTATCATTATTCATGGGAAGAGCAGTGATTTTTTCCAAATACTCTTACTGAACTTTGGACTTCATAATTAACACTGAACACTTTCTGTGAAATGTATTCCTCCGTGAATGTACAGACAACATTATTAGACCCAGATTGGAAGCAAGAAACATTTGACATAGCAATGGGGAAAAAAAAATCTCAAGCTTTTTTTTTTCTTTTTATGAGGCAGGACCACAATCACATATGATCACACAATCACACAGACAGCCTGGTGTTTTCAGGCTGGTTTTCCTTCTGCTCTGGCTTCCCAAGCTGATAGGATTACAGGCCTGCACTGGCACATCCAGCCTCATGATTTTTAAAAAATATTTTATTTTTAAAAAAATTTATGTGTATGAGTATATTGCCTGCATAAAGTGCACCCGTGTTGTGTAGTGGCCGGAGAGGTCAGAAGAGGGTGTCAGATCCTCTGGAACTGGAATTAGGGACAGTTGTTAGTGCCATGTGGGTGCTGGAAATCGATCCCAGGTCCTCTGCAAGAGCAGCCAGTGCTCTTAACTGCTGAGGCATCTCTTCAGCCCCTTCTCATGATGTTTTAAATAAGAAGCTTCTGATTTTGTGTTAGGCTACAGGTTGGACATGTTTGTCACTCTGAACGGAGCCTGGCCTACCATCTTGGGCTACCATGCCGTGTACTACATCAAGTCTTGATAGCCCCACACATGAATGGATGCTCAAGATTGTTGAATGATTTGGAAACAGTGTCTTGGAACGTTGTGACTGACCCATGTTTTAGAGTAAGTCAGAAAAGCCTCCCCAGGCTCTTTTAATAAGGAGGTCACTGTCACTCAGCTCCTAGGAACAATTTCACAGGGTCCAAAGAAAAAGAGATGAAACCCCCAAGGAAAGGGGTGACTTTATGGTCCAGGTCCGCTCGTACTTTTAGGATAAACTCTTCCCTAGTAAGCAAATCAAAGTTCTAATCAATAATGGAAGAATATTCTTCTTTGAATGATATAAAATATGTACTTCAGAATGAGAGATAATCATAAAATGATTACAATAGAAAATGGTTTTCCTCTTTAAGGGAAATTCTGAGGTCTTTGTCTTGTGATATCTAAAGGAAACATTGTCTTTATTTTTCAATATGGTTAAACTTAATGGATTCTGATTTTGCTTACATTTATCTCCCTCGCTTTCAGAGAACGTGACTTGTGCATGTTAGGATGAGGCAGCACTGGACCAGAAGCTGGAAGCACTATTTATTACCTATTTTTGCATAGTTTCTCTTAGTTTCCTTTTGGTGACTGACTGACTGACTTCAAGTTCAGTCTTATCTCCACTGGATCCTTGATTTTCTGTTGCCGTGTAGTGTATTCAGAGGGTCTAGAGATTGGGACAAAGATATCTTTTGGCAGGAGTACTATTGTGCTTATCCCATGGATATTTCCATCTAGATTTTTAAAAGGATACTAAAGCCAGGTGTGGTGGCACATGCCTGCAATCTCAGAACTTGGGCGGTGGAGGCAAGAGGATCAGGAATTCAAGGGTAGCCTCTTCTACATAATGATGTAGGATCATCATTTGTTTTGAGACAGGGACTCATATGGCTCAGACTAGGCCAGCTTGAGCTGCATGGATCCCTGTCTTAAATCAGAATGAAACAAAATGAACTAAAAGATCTTAAGTACATATAACTTAGCTTTCTTAA